GCTCTAGCCTTGGAGTCAAGAGGACCTGAGTTCAAATCCAGCCTCAGACACTTAATACTTACTAGCTGTATGACCCTGGGCAAGTCACTTAACCCCAATCGCCTCACCAAAAAAAGCAAAAAAAAAACCCCAAAAAACAAAAAAAACAAATGGTGGCCCCAAGGCAAGGTGATTACCAGAAGACTTAATGTCAACAGATTAGAGCACTTCTCTGAGTGGGGACAGTTTGTTGCTAACTTGGAGGGAAAGTTGAGTCAACACACAGTTGGCAACAATGGAGCAGAAAAGGAGTGGGCAACTTTCAGAGATTTGGTACCACATTTACTCATCTGGGTCAAAACAGAAACATCAAGATTGGTTTGACAAAATTGATGGGGAAATTCAGAAGCTCTAAACAAAAAAATGAAAATTCCACAGGGTTTAGCAGGATTGTACATTCTCTCTAAAAAGGCAGCATTTGATTCCATTAAAAGTAAAGTTAGAAAAGATACCCTAAGAATTGTCCCAGCTTGTGACCAATGAGCAGCCCGTGAGCAGCCACGAGCAGCAAAGTCTCTCGTGACACTCTATGAAGCTGTGTGGGAGGTCCTACATGGAACCCAGTGCAAACAAAGAAAGTTTTTGGAAACTGTGGAGCTGCAGATCAGTCTGAAGAGTTATTATCCCCAAAAGAACAAACGTTTCTCTGGCACCGTCAGGCTCAACTCCATACCCTGAACTAAATTTTCTGTGTGTGTCCTGGGAGACCACCAGCACTGTGATGAGGTCAAAGCTGTAGAAATGCCCCACGTGGATATCGAGGCCCTGAAGAAGTTGAATAAGAACAAGAAATTGGTCAAGAAACTGGCTAAAAAGAATGATGCCTTTTTGGCCTCTGAGTCCTTGATCAAACAAATCCCTCAAATCCTGGGCTCTGGTCTGAACAAAGCCGGCAGGTTTCCATCTCTGCTCACCCACAATGACACTATTTTGGCAAAGGCTGACAAGGTTAAATCTACAATCACGTTTCAGATGAAGAAGGTGCTGTGTCTGGTGGTGGCTGTTGGCCATGTGAAGATGACAGACGATGAGCTCGTCTACAATATCCATTTGGCTGTCAATTTCCTGGTTTCTCTGCTGAAGAAAAACTGGCAAAATGTGAGGGCATTGTACACCAAGAGCACCATGGGCAAGCCCCAGCAGATGTATTAAATCAACGTGGTGTTAATAAATGGCAGAAGCTGCTAATAAAAAAAAAAGTAAAGTGAAAGTGAATCTTAGAGAGATGCAGGATTCTTGACTCAGTGAGAAGGTGGATAAAATTCAGTTTTATGCTGATAGTAAACTCGAAAGTGCTTCTCCAATGCCTTGAAGGTTATTTATAGGCCAAAGACCTATGGTGCATTTCAACTACTCAGTGCTGATGGAGCCGCATTGACTAGTGTGATAAGGACATGATCCTGGAGAGATGGGCTGAACACTTCCATAGTGTTTTCAATAGACCATCATCAATTAGTGCTGAAGCCATTGACCATATACCTCAGGTTGAAGTCAATCCCTCTCTAGCTGAATTTCCAACTGAAGGAAAGGTTTTGAATGCCATTAAGCTCTTCTTCTGTGACAAAGTGCTTGGTGCTTATTCTATCCCAGCTGAGATTTACACAGCAGGGCATTCACTGCTCATACAAAAGCTGACTATAATCTTCTGGGTTATATGGCAAGAGGAGATTATCCCCCAGGAGATCAAGGTTGCCTCCATTGTCCATCCCTGTAAAGGTAAAGGAAATAGATTGTCCTTTGACAATTACTGAGGCGGGGGGGTGGGGTTGAGAGGTGGGGATTGTCTCTCTCTTAGTTACTGATGACAAGATTCTTGCAAGAGGCCTCCTTAGTAGACTGATCCTTCACCTGGAAGATGGTTGTCTGCCTGAGAGCCAGTGTGGCTTCAGAAGGACTGAGGAATGGTTGATGTGGTGTTTGTTGCCCAACAACTCCAGGAGAAAGGACACACAACGTTTGTGGATCCGACCAAGGCCTCTGATACTGTCAGTCATGAGGGCTTATGGAAAATTATGTCAAAATTTGGTTACTCAGAGAAATTCATAAGTATTATATGTCAGTTTCATGATGGCATGTTTGCATGGTTTCTGGATAATGGACAATGCTCTCATGCTTTCCCAGTCACCAGCAGATCGAAGCAAGGCTGTTGTGGTATGCCTATGACACCTGGATAGTATACCAGTGCCATGCCAGGAAACGGAAACTCTTCCATTTGTATTGTCTTAGGAAGATTTTTTAAAGATTACTTGGCAAGTTAAGGTACAGGACACTGAAGTTGTTTCTCAAGCTAAACTGCCAAGCATTCAACCTCTACTACAGAGAGTGCAACTCCCATGAGCTGGCTACATTGTTCGAATACCAAACTTGCAATTGTCTAAAGTACTATTTCATGGAGAACTCACACAGGGCAAGTGCTTCCATGGAGTTCAGAAAAAGTGATATGAAGACACTCTCAAGGTCTCTCTGAAGAACTTTGGAATCAAGTTAGTGGGAGACACTGGCAAAGAACTGCCCAGCATGGTGTGCCCACATCAAAGAAGGTACTGTGCTCTGTGAGCACAACAGAATTTCAGTAGCTCAAAAGAAATATGAGATGTGCGAATTTAGAGACTCCTCCACTCCAAATACTCATGTGGATTATTTGTGCCTGTGGTAGAGCCGTCTGAGCTCCTCTTGGTTTGATCAGCCACAGTTGGACACACTATACTTGTCTCCAACATAGTAATGTCATTTTGACCCCCTTCAAGAACAAAGGACAACAACCAGCCCCAGTGCCCTACTGAGGTTGAGTTTATCCTGATCTGAGCCATTGTGTATTGTCAGCCTTAGCTTCTATCTTCCATACAAGATCTCAAGGGAATATTCCCCAAAGTCTGGAACCCTGAGTGTAGAGTCAGGAAGACTCATCTTTCTGAGTTCAAATCTTTCCTCAGACACTTATTAGCTGTGTGCTAGTCACTTAACCCTGTTTGCCTCAGTTTCACATCTTTAAATTGAGCTGGAGAAGGAAATGGCAAACCACTCCAGTATCTTTGCTGAGAAACTCCAAATGGGGCCACATAGTTGGACATGATTGAAATGACACAACAACAACAACAAAAAGAGATAGAGGCATAATGGAGATCGCCAACCTCTCTATATTTCACTTCTTCCCAGCGTCTATTTCCTTTCATGTACCTAAAGAGAATTCGGAATCATGCATCTTCTCTCTCGAAATTGGAAACCAGAAGAGCCCATATAACTTTTTTCCCACTCTCATTAACTCCACCCTGCCCCCTTTGCAGGCACGGGACATTGAGTAAACAATCTGCACCAGTTAGAAGAAAGTCCCAAATGACTGGCACTTTGAACGAAGGATTATGTGATTTCTTTCTGGTCTCTATGTTAAAAGTAAGCTCTTTATAAGTAGGGATTATTTCATTCATTACTTTTATATCCCCAGCATCCAACACAGTGCCTGGCACATCATAGGTGCTTAATAAGATACTTATGGATAGATAGATTGATTCAATGAGACTTTTTCAGATGTCTTCTTGAAACTCAAGTGTACTGTGTCTAAGGCATTCCTCAGAATTAACAATTTAGTAACCTTGTCAAAATAGGAAGTGTGTTTCCTCCGGTGTCCTCTGTTCTTGATCAAGCCACCATGCGATCCTTAAATGGTCACATGCAAACCAGGCAAATGTTACTGACATCGTATTCTCACCTGATTGGGCAACCCATAGAATGTCATGTTCAATTCTGGGTGCTACATTTTAAGAAGTATATTATCAAGCTAGAACACATCCAGAGGAGATGGACTAGAATACTGAGGGGACTCAAAGCTATTCTATGAGAGGATTAATAGAAAGAATTGGGAATTTTTAGTCTGAAGACAAGAAGAATTGTTGGAGATGTGAGGGGAAAGATGATTGCTTTCTATATATTTGAAGTGTCATGATTTGGAAATGGGATTAGACTTCTGTTGACCTGCAAGATCATAACTAAGCAATGGAGTTAAGTTAAAGAGGAGATATCACCTCAATATAATGAAAAACTACCCCCAAATTAGAGCTGTCCAGAAATGAAAAGTGCTGTCTTGAATTGTAGTGATTTCTCAATTGCCTAAGGCCTCCAACTGGAAGCTCAATGATCATTGGTTGGAGATGTAATGGAATTCATTTATGTTTTAAGTCAGAAGTGTCAGCCATGAATTACAATGCTGCTGGAACCAGCTTAAATTGTAATTGGGAAATGTTTAACAACATAAATAAAAACACAATACACATAGATAATGTTCATTTGTGGTTTTCTAAGTCTATAGTCTTGTGGCAGGAATCCATTTGTATGTTGGTTTGCTACCACTGTTTTAGGTAATGGTTGAACAAAATGACTTCTGATGTTGGATTTGACCTCCAGCAACCTTTTACCAGCTCCAAAGTTCTGTGGTTCTATGATATACCAGAGGTTCTTCTTGTTTCTGCCTCCTCTAATTTGCTGAAGTCATTAAAGCTTTAATACCTTCCACTTGTCATTTCCACAAGACGTGGTCTCTTACTACTTCTCCTCTCTTTTTATCATTCGTAAAGTAGCCTCTCTTTATCCATACTCCAGTCAGATATCACCTTGCTGATGGCCCAGCATTATCTATACTAATCTTCCAGGCTACTTAATTTAGTACTTCATATTTCAATAATTAATATTTATTTTCCTAAGGTGAGAGCTCTATATAACAACCATAATGCAACACAACTGTATCTTAGACAAATTTTGCAAACTGAGCATGTGGCCTTATCAGGGCTCCTCAATACAGCTATGAGTTGTGCTAAAAATAAATAATCTATAAAGACAGAATCTACACTGACATTTCTTGTTATACTTGTTCATATATGTATCTTTAGGTAAAACTCTGAAATATGATGATATATTTTCAGTCTTTAATTTCTGTCACTAAAAAGTATCTTTGTTTTTGGTGTTAATAGTAAGGCAGCTACAGTAATCCAAAGCCATTGGCAAGGATACCACATTCGCACGCAGGTTAATTTTTGTGATCAAAAGGATATGGCTGCAATGATGATACAGAGAGGCTGGCGAAATTACCTTATGAAGACCCAGATGAAAAAAAGACAATGTTGCACCACTGATCTGCATGCACAGAGGGAGAAGGCTGCTACACTTATTCAGGTCTGTGTCATCTTTTGTCATTTATACATGCAGACAGTATGTCTTCATCCTATCCTTGTGTATTTTGATAAAGCAGCCATCGTTTGGGGGAAGGGGAAAAGAAAACTTATGAGACCCATCAAACTTATCTATGGCATGTCATTCGATTAATAAACATATATTAAGTACCTACTGTGTGCCAGGCACTCCAGTAAGCACTAGAGATGCAAAGAAAGGCAAAAGCAGTCTCAACTCCTCAGGAGTTCTCGGTCTGATGACGGAGACAAAATATGAACCACTACATGCAAACAAGATCTAAACAGGATAAATTGGAGACAATCCAGAGAGGGAAGGCACTACCATTAAGGGGGATTAGAAAAGGTTTCTTGTAGAAGGTAGAATTTTAGCTGGGGCTTGAAGGAAGCCCAGAGGCCAAGATTGATGGAGTAAGATGTTGCAGAATCACTTACACTCTCAGATTCTATCACCCACCAAACTTGGAGTGACCCTCTCTTCATTCTCTGACACACCAGGTAGTCATTTTTTTTCCCATGAGGAAGCTAACCAGAGCTTAGCAACTGACACTGGTTAGCCAGGAATTTAAAATGCTCTAAAAAATTTAAAATTCTCTAAAAATTCTGTGTTTTGTTCATGAGGGTTGGCACGAGGACTGAGGTACTGTAGTGTCACCATCTGGCTATGCAGGTAGGGGTCACCTGACTTTGGCTGACCCTTGGACCCACTGTATACACCTCACATTGAATGACCTTAGAGGAAGGTTCTTCACCTGGGGTCCATCAACCCCAAGAACTCTTGGATAGAATGGATAGATTCCAGAGAGACTGGGAACTTGAATGGTAGAAAAATGACATTTTTATTTTCATGAACATTTGGTTTCTCTTGTAATCCTATGTATTTTATTTTATAAATGTTTGAAACTGTGATTCTGAGAAAAGTTCTATAGAGTCCCTCCTCCCCTCCCTCCCACCTCCTCTTTCCTCACCTCTTTCCTCAATTTCTCACTTTTCCCCCTTTCTTCTCTCTCTTTTCTCTTCTACCATCCCCCCTCCTCTCCCTGTCTACCCCTCTCCTGTTTTCTTTTCTTCCCTCTTTCCCTCTTCTACCCCTCTTTTCCTCACCTCTCCCTTTCCCTCTCTCTTCCACTCCCCTTTTCCTCTTCTTCCCCCTCTCCCCTCCTCTTTCCCTCCTCCTCTGCATCACTTAGTAACCCCTTCACACTCTATCACAAACTCAGTCCCAAAGGCCAGAACTTCTGTAGCAACAACTGTCACCTACATTGTTATGAATCACCAAGAAACGAAGATTTTTGGAGGGTGTGAGGTGGTGTGGGGATGGATATTACAGTTAAAGATTACAGACAACTTCTTGAATGCTGCATCTAAACACAGCTGCCCACCTTCTCCTGAGATTCCCAGTAATAAGTCCATGTTTCTTTATTACTTTGTAATAAACCTTATGAAAAATTTTAATTCTGCAATCAGAGATAATGTGTTTTAAAGTAAAGCTCATTGTACTTGGAAGGAAAGTAGTTTTAATTTGTAAACATTGTCTTGTTGGATTTTTGAGGCTTCATCCTTTATATTAAAAAGGTTTAGGAAGTCTTTAAGAAGATATTCACATCAATTGAATTTGACATTTTTTTTTCATTGATTAGTCATGTCCAACTCTTTGTGACCCCATTTGGGGTTTTCTTGGCAAAAATACTAGAATAGTTTGCCATTTCCTTCTCCAGATCATTTTACAGATAAAGAAATTGAGGCAAATGGGGTTAAGTGACTTGCCCAGGGTCACAACGCTAGTATTTGAGGCTGGATTTGAACTCAGGTCCTCCTGACTTCAGGCCCAGCCCTCTTTCCACTGTTCCACCTAGCAGTACCCTAGGCAGATATAGCTTTTTTTTTTAAAGCAATTCCACTATATTCACAGGTTTTTCTTCTCTCTAAACATAATACTTCATCTCTTTTTGGAGATTCATGAAATTTGCTTTTTCTTAGGAACAATTCATCTTTTCTAATTATTTCAAGGATACCATTTTGGTTTTTTAGGTTTTGGAATATGCTTACATATACAATCATATTCTTTGAATTTTGTTAGATAGATACAGATTGCCTTATTACTGCAACTAAGATATGATAATAAAGACTCATATTTATGTCATGCTTTAAGGTTTACAGAATGCTTCCTTCACAGCAGCTCACTGAGACAGGCAGTGTTAAGTATCACTGCCCTTATTTTAGACCTGAAACTGAAACTTAAAAGGCATTAAGCAATTTGTTTGAGGTCAGATAGAAATGCCAGGTTGAGAATGGAACCTGGATCTTCCTACTTTTGGACCAACATGCAAAAATTGGAGGTAGTAATAGCACAATTATGGTATTAGTAAAATAAGGGTTAGCTGATCTCTATGGCATCTTCCAGTTCTAAAACTCCATGATACTATTTTAATAAATTCCATTTATTTTTAAAGGACTCAAAATGACTATGGATTTATTTGTAAAGACCAGGTTTATAAATCTGAAGTATTGCTGCTTCCAAATATTTAACATTTCCAATGTGTGCTTAAGTTTACATTTCACACAATCATTTGAAAATTAGCATTTGTGTGTTTCTTTATATTGCTTTCTTCCAAGTTTTTAATAGGTCCTGGAGGATTTGTCAGATCATTAATTAGTTGACCGAGGTTTGTAGTTGAGGGAGTTTTTAAGATTCCATTCTGCTTACCAAGCAGCAAGTCTCCTGGGTATTCAGGACTTTAGACACATGCAGGCATTTAATTTGTCTTGTAGTTTTAAATGTCACATAAAGTTCAAAAAATAGATCATTGAGCTTTTAAACCAAGGTCTGAGATGTTTTATCTTCCTAATGGGATAACAGAGAGAATCTGGATTTGGGTTTGATCTATAACCTTATATAACATGCATTACATTTTTGTTTAGGCAGTTTGGAAAGGCTTCCTGTTACGGAAGAAACTGACCAGAGCACTAGCTTCCATTAAAAATGAAGAACTTGAGGATGGCTATGAAGAAATCGACCTAGATGACTTTACGTTTGATGAAGTAAGTATAAACTGGAACATAAAACATTCATTTAAAATAGTGCTGAGTGAAATTTTAAAACCATTTAAAAATTTTATCCTATAGATAATTGAATGGCCATCATGTATTATCTCTAATGAACAGGAAAATGTGTCATTATTTAATATTTTATACATTTGTTCTCAAGGTAAGGATGTGCTAAGAATGTTATAACCATGATATATATTTTCCCTAAACTTTGACTCTGATTCCTACCTCATATTTCTGATTTGTTTTCTTTGTCAGAAGTATTTGGACTACAAAGAACTATAGTAGATTTGTATCATATTAACATTAATATTTTCAAAAAGATAATTAACAATAATAATACAACATAATATAAGTTCCCCAAGAGCAGAGATTATGTTTTCCCTTTTTTAAAAAACTAAAACAAAAATGTTGGGTTTTGTTTTAATTTTTTAATATATTTTTATTGTTTGTCCATTTGAAATGTGTTGTGGTATGAAATGTAACTACCTCAGAAGTCTTGCTCTGATGCTTCATCATGGCATGTGGCATGGAGGCAACTCTAGGTTCTTTAAAGCTATGCCAGCAAGAGCACAAGCTTGGCAGGCTCTAAAATACTAGCAAGTCTTCACAGGGGATAAACCAAGTCTTTTCTTCTGGTGATCAGCCTTCCTAATCCTGGGGAAGTATAACAGCCCACCTGGTGATGAAATTGTTTCTGGCCAACACAGTCTATGAAAAGAGAGACGGAGATGGAGACAGAGAGACAGAGAAAGAGATAGAGAGAGATTAGATAATATTGATGTTGGTATAGGTATAGATGATAAAGTTATAGGTATATTTTGGGTGGTCTTCAATCCTGGATGAGTGCCTTCCACTTCTGCAATAATGATAGCAGGAAAGGAAGCAGTAACTTCTAAGAATCACAGTTTTTAGACCTCTGACAATCTTTGCTTTGATTCTTGGTGAACCGAATATATGAGATCCTTGTCCAGTGACCAGCAAGTGGACGTAATGCTGAAGGAGTTAAGTCATGTTAATCTTGACATTCTTACTACAAATACAAGAAGAAGGAATTAAGTTGCAACTAAATGGAAGAATGTTTCACAGGTATGGACAGGGTTTCATTGTTTTCCCCAAAGTTTCAAGAAGTATTTCATGGGATATGTGTTCTCCATGTATTTCAGTACTAACTAACAGAAAGGAATATGGCCTCCTGATCAGCTAAAAGAGTCCAGACATTGTGAATAAATATTAAAAGACAAAGGAAAATGAATTAACACTCTGAGGAGGGAGAGAACCCTGTGGATTCACAAGATAGCAGAGAACCACAACAGGATGTTCTTGAATGATTTAAAAGAGAAATAAGATTTGTGAAAACAGAATTTATAGCCTATGTAGCATATACAATTGTCAAAATAGAAAAACTGGAATCCATGGTGGGAAATCTCACCAAAGAAATAAAAGAGAGAATAACTGATTGGCAATATAAGTACATAGATTTGAAAAGACGGTCTGGAAGAACAGAAGCAAAAATCAATAATGTTAAAAAGAAAGCATGCTGTGTTGACAAAGCTGACAAAAAATGGCACAGTATTTAATGTTGGCAGGATTGTAGAAAGATAGGCATGCTGATGCATTATTGGTGGATCTGTAAATTGGTACAACCATTCTGGAAAGCAATTCGGAATTATGCAAATAAAGTGGCCAAAATATTTTATAACCTTTGACCCAGAGATTCCATTAATAAGAAAAATGTTCCCCATATACCCCTACATTTTTACAGGAGCACTTTTTGTGATAAGCAAAGGTGCTAAAGGATAGGAATAGTCAGTTTCAGAGGGGAAGTGGAAGGATAGTCACATAAATATGCAATTGGTACCACGAATTGGTTCAAACATTTTGGAAAACAACTTGGAATTATTCTAAGAGAATGACTTAAATGTTCATATCCTTTGACACAGTGATCCCATTGCTAGACATGCCACAAAGAGTTCAGTGATATAAAGGTCCCATGTACAACAAAATATTTATATTTTTTGTGATAACACTTTTTGTGGTAGCAAAGAACTAGGATGTCTATCAGTTGGGGAATGGTTAAACAAGTTATGGTACATAAATGGAAAGTAATATTGCTTCACTAAGGGAATAAAGAATATGATTAGTATGGTGAAGTCCTGGAAGACGTTTTAATGAATTGTCACAAATCAAAGTAAGCATAGATCCAGGAAAACTGTACTCACAATTACAACAATGCCAAAGGAAAGAATAATGATAAAACAATCAAAACTCAATCCTGTAAGATTATGGTGACCATGTTTATCCCTAAGTAAGACATATAAGAGTAGACCATCCCTCCTCTGCAGAAGTAGAAGACTAAGTGGAACCCTACCCATAATATAATGTCACAATTGTTTGATATATTGGTTGATTTTGTTGAATGTCTATTTTTTTCCTCTTTTTTGTTCTTTGATATTTAGGGTAGTTCTCTGGAAGGGAGAAAGAGATTTTAGGAAATAATAGCTAGCATTAATCAAATACAGCACTTCAAGGCTTGCAAAGCACTTTACAAATATGATTTAACCTTATCCTCAAAATATTCCTGGGAGATAGGTGCTATTATTATCCCATTTTACAGACAAGGAAATTGATGCTGATACAAGTTGTGTCTTGCCCAGGGTCACACAGCTGGTAAAGATTTGAGGCCAGATTTGATCTCAGGCCTTTCTGACACCAAGTCCCAGACTCTAGCCACTGTAAGTACCATCAAGCTACATCATCTAGGTAATGTAAAAACAAATATCAATAAAAACAGCATGAAAAGAATGTAGCTACAAATAAAGATATAAAATTCACTATGAGAAACAATTACAGTTGCAAGACATTTTGGAAGAATAGTGGAGAAGGTTTTAAATAGAACATTAAAAAGAAGAGAAAAGGGAAGCAAGCTGCTATCCCAATTATGCCAAGGTGCCTTAAACATAAACTGTAAATACCTATGAATTTTCTGAAAATCTGAAATTATGTCATGAAAAATATAAGTAGTTTGGTTTTAATTTTGTGTTACAACTATATTGACTCTTTAGATGATCTCAGCTCTTCTATCTGCATTTAACTCTTATCAAGTTTTTCCAAGTTTTTCCATTTATTCTGCTGTTAATTCATCTTATTTTTATAGAGTGTAACCATTGTGTTCATAGAACTCATATATCATATGATGTGATGTAATATATACAACCTAAATAATCTCTTCTAGTACAGAGACTGGAGCATAGGTTTTACTCTAAGATGTTAATAATTTTGGATCATTGTATTTTAAAATCATTGGAAAAATCAAGTGCCAATAATATTCTAATATTGACATCAAATTCTATGCTCTGTGAATAAACAGCCAGTATTATAATTTTTTTTTAAATTCTGAAGCTTTTAAGCATCTGAAGAAAAGTATGAAACTTGTGTGATTTTTCTGTGTGTGGCTTTATGCTACCGGCATTTTTTTTAAACTGTCTCCCTCTTTGGCAAAGCCCTGTATATCTTCAATAATCAAATGTGATCTACCTTTGCTGTATGTTTGCACAAAACATCATTTAATATCTTAATTTTTCTAAGAACATTTCACATTTCAAAAGCAAATCACAAAAAAGAATTCATATTTATGAGGCTTTTTATTTCATTTTTCTACTAATCCTATAATTAATTTAATTGTAAGTTTGTATTATTATTACTAGCAATAATACATCTTTGCATTTTCCTTAAAATCATTCAAATAGGTTGATCATTTATTCATCAAAAGATAAATATTGAAATAATTTAGCAAATCAGTTGTTTAACCAAGAAATTATTCCTCAGATAATGTTAGCCTGGGTATAAAATCCGGGTAGCTAGGTGGCACAGTGGATAAAGTGCAGGGACTGGAGTTAGAAAGACTCTGGTCTTAGACATTTATACCAGCAATGCCAATCTAGGCAAGTCACTTGACCTTGTTTGCCTCAGTTCCCTCATCTATAAAATGAGCTGGGGAAAGAAATGGCAAACCACTCCAGTAGCTTTGCTAAAAGAACCCCAAATGGGGTCACGAGTCAGACACAAGTGAAATAACTAAACAACAGCAAGGTTTAAAATAGGTCATAAGAAATCATGTTGTTCAGTCCTTTTTAGTCAGGTCTGACTCTGTGTGAGATAGGAATGCATTCTATATATGGGGGAATAGCCTACGTAAAGGTCAGAGAGAGGAGACAGAATGTTGTCGGTGAGCATCTACAAGAGAACCAGTTTTCCCCTCACACCTGACATGTGGACCTCTATCCCATATTCTATGTTGACTTATTATGGATTATCTTAATTGATGCTTTTTCTCCCCCAGTATGTGGGCTGCTCATATTTAGTCCATGGGGGAACTCCCTGTGGATCTAGAACAATGTTTCTTAATCTTTGTTTTGTCATAGACTCTTTTGGCGGTTTGATGAATCTAATGGACTCCCATTTCAGAAAAAAAAATTAAATATGTAAAATAAAATATATACAATTGCAAAAGAAACCAAATATGTACTTTTATTTAAAATGGAATTTATCCCCCATCCAAATTCATTGACGCCCTTGAAATCCATCGTTGGATCTTTGTGTGTGGGGGTCATGGACTACAGGCTAAGAACTCCTGATCTAGGCATGTGAGAGGAATATTCTTTCCCAGTTGTCTTTCAATTCTCCTTAGAACAGTTGGAAAGAAAAGGAGAAAAGACCAATCATATTGTAGTCCAAATCACCCAAAGGGTGGTAAAGTCTTTTTTTTTTTTCTTTTTGGTGAGGCTATTGGGGTTAAGTGACTTGCCCAGGGTCACACAGCTAGTAAGTATAAGTATCTGAGGCTGGATTTGAATTCAGGTCCTCCTGACTCCAAGGCCAGAGCTCTATTCACTGTGCCATCTAGCTGCCCCTGGTAAAAGTCTTAAATAAGTCCCTGAGGCCTATCATATGGTCATCATGACAGAGACCAAGCACTGCTCAATGAACCTTAC